GGTATCAGAGGGACAGAAAATTGGCCCTTGAATTTGTAGTGTGGGAATCCAGGCAGAGTGCAGGGAAAGGAGATCAGATTTAAGATATTTTTTGAGAATAAAAACCAACAGGACTTAATTGGATGTAGGATGTAGAGGGAAGGGCTTAAGGATGAATCTGGATGGATAATGATGCTGTTTACTGGTAGGGAAGGCTGGAAGCTTAAACAGAAATGTGATTTGGGAGTAAAAGAAATCTATAGTTCTCTATCTGGCCATGAAGTTGAGAGGCCTATTGGACATCCAGATAGAGACCCAGGTGGTCAGTTTGATAGTCAGGATCTTGGGTAAGAAGTCTGAACTAGAGATACAAACTTGAGACCCATGAATGTATAGCTGGAATGGGGCCAATGAGCTTACCCAAGCTTACCTGGGCAAGGGTATAGATCAGAAGAGTAGAGGCCTGAGGCCAGATTCCTAGGCCATGTAAGAGAAAGGAGCATCAGTGACAGAGGAAAGCCATGTAGGAGCCTAGAGGAGAGGGGAGGACTTAATATCAATTTATGTAGCATCGACTCTCCACTTTTGAGCCCTGGACTTACTAGCAGTAAGAGAAGTTAATTTATCTTGAGAACTTAATCCTCTGTGTAAGATATATATGCTTTAAACTTCTAAAATGTTTTATTTAATTAATACATTTTGTGATAATAGTACTCATTTTACAGAGCTGTTTGGTAAGTTAAATTAGTTAATACAACTAAGTGCTTCAAACAGTCCCTGGTACGTAGTAAGAACTTAATAATTGTGACTTGTTTGTGGCAGTGGTGATTATGAGAAATCACTTTGGGCTTAAGGTCTAGATTCCAGATTAGTAAAGAAGAAAGAGAATAATAGTGCTGGCTATTCATCTGAACGTGTTATGAGATAATCAGTTTTGTTTAGCTGGTTCCCTGAGTTGCATATTAAAGCAGTTTTGAGCAGTGAGGGACCTTGTTACTATAGTGCCATTAAATGGTGTTATCAATTGACCCTAAAAATCAAAGTGATGGAAAATTGTCTCCTTTTTTCTAAAACACTTCATTTGCTGTTGCTTCATAACATCTCAACCTTCCTTTCAAAGTCAGGAGGAGATATTAATTTTTACTATACTGCTACATCTTCACACAAATTATCATCTGAAGGAGCTTCTTAGAACTGACAAATGAACTCTTCCTTTCCAAGAGGAACTTGTTAAACCAATAAAGTTCAAAATTCTAATTCCCATTCCTTACTAGTGTGTACCATTTTATCCATCTCGAATAAACATACAACCTCAAGCACCGTACTAGGCAAATAGATTCCTTTTTAATTAGTAGTTCTATATACAGAATTTTATCATAGTGAAATTTATAAACCAAAAGGGAACAAATATTTACACTTGCAACTTCATGTCAGCATTGCCCTGAAAATGTAAATGTGTCTCCCATGTTTCTACTATGGCAGTAGAAAAATAAGCTTCAACTTAGGAGCATATCTGCTCTGTCGTGTAGGGAATATGGAAGATTGGCAGTGTTCTTTCTTTGTGACTGACATTACTTTTTTTCGCACAAAGACTTGTTTTATTAAAAGCTAATCTTTATTTTTTGTTTTTTTGTGGTATTATTTCTTAGGCATCTCTAAGTACCGAGGCAAAGTTTTATTTTGAGGAGTCAGTGCTTTTGTATTTATCATAAGGAATTATTTCTCAATTTAAGTAGACTTTTTTTATTCCAAGGCAAAATTACATCAACCAGAAAGGTTTCTGTGAACAGAATAATGTAGAGCTGAGGTTTTGTGTGTCAATATGAGCAGCCTGATAATTTACAAAGGAAAATTTATTTACTTATTCATGGTTTTTATTTTGAAAGAGAGAAAAAGAGGGAGAGAGAGAGAGAGAGAGAGAACAAGCGTGAACAGGGGAGGGGTAGGGAGAGAGAGAATCCCAGGCAGGCTCCATCCTGTAAGCACAGGGCTCCATCTCATGAGCCATGAGATCATGACCTGAGATGAAATTAAGAGTTGGATGCTTAACTGACTGAACCATCCAGGCGCCCCTACAAAGGAAGATTTTAAATGATGCTTAAATATTAATGGTTTAAAGATCTCAATCGAAATGAAAAAGCTCATTAAAATGTATTGAAATAATTTAGAAAAAGGATGATGATTTTGCCAAGATTTCAGAGATGACTAATTTTTTTTTCAAGGTTTTACTGCAGTTTTGATTGAGCTGCATTAAGTGGCTCTAATTTCATCTATTATATGTAGTTATACTATGCCTGCATCCCAAAATGATTTTAGGTCACTTAGGTCATTAAAATATATTTAATATACTAATTTGTTTTTCAAATCATCAAAAATACTTAAGATGAAAGAACAGATCAACCTTGTGTCTAGAATGAATAATTTAGTTCTAAATATCCTAGAAGCTAAGGAGAAAGGAGAAAGATGTGGTTTTTAAGATTTTCATTGTCAGATAGGGAAGCATAGGAATTTAAGAAGAAAGAATTTTTTCCCTGCTTTTTCTGAACTTAAAGACAATTTATTTTGGATTCTAATCCTGTATAGTCAATAATGAGTAATACCGTTGACAGTCTTTCTTCCCACTCCTCTCTCCTCTTCCCCCAAAGGGAAACACCTGATTGTAAAAATAATACTTGCATGCTGTTTATATAAAAAGAAAAATTTCAGACAAATCAGAAATACATGTATTAAAATTTCCTTGAATGATACTATTTCTCAGTTCACAGAAAGGGGTGCCATTATGTCATAACTCCATGAAGATGTTTTCTTTGTGTGTGTGTGTGTGTGTGTGTGTGTGTGTGTATGTGTTTAAAAAACTTTTTGATGTTTATTTTTGAGAGAGAGAGGGGGATGGAGGAGAACATGAGCAGAGGAGGGGCTGAGAGAGAGAGAGGGAAACACAGAATCTGAAGCAGGCTTCAGGCTCTGAGCTGTCAGTACAGAGCCTGATGCAGGACTTGAACTCTCGGGCCTTGAGATCATGACCTGAGCCAAAGTTGGACGCTTAACCAACTGAACCACCCAGTTTTTTGTTTTTAATTTTAATAGGCCCCACGCCCAACATGGGGCTCAAACTCATACCCCTAGATCAAGAGTCCCGTGCTCTACTGACTGAGCCAACAGGTGCTCCAATGGAAATGTTTTTGTAAGGCACTTTGATGATAATAAGTTTAGCAAACATTTATTGGGCATCTCAAATTTGCCTGTGCTAGGAATATAGAAATGAGTAAGGCACCACTCTTTACTTTAAAAAACCACTCCAGGAAAAGTGGGGTTCACTTAACTCATCACATAAGCGACTCATCAGATAGTTCATATTCGCTGAGTACCTAATATGGATATAGTACATAGTGGTCAGCTGGGTCTGTAAGGTGCATCAGTAACTAACCATACAGCTAATGCTAATGTTGTGTGCTGAGTGCCTAGGCTTGTAGGGTGCAAATTACTTTGAGAGCAGAAAAGAGAATTTTGTTTTGCTGGGGAAGGCTTTGCAGAGGGAGAAATTTTTAGGTTGCAATTTAGTGTCAGCGTGTACCAGATAGCCCAGAAATGGGGAGAGCGTTCTAGGCAAAGGGAATAGCAAGTCGAGTTTTGGAAGTGTAATCAGACTGTGTCTATGACCAGTGCTAAGTAGCGGATGGCCCAACACAGCGTATGGCTTAGAGAAAGTGTGTTGGAAGATGAAGCTGTGAAGATGGTAGAATTGTGTCCAGAAAATAAAAAAAGGACCTTATTTTGTAAATAGTCTTAAAACAATTTTTTATTGTTTATTTATTTTTGAGAGAGAGACACACACACAGAGGATGAGCAGGAGAGGGGCAGAGAGAGAGGGAAACACAGAATTTAAAGTGGGCACCAGGCTCTGAGCTGTCAGCACAGAGCCATACATGGGGCTGGAACTTAAGAACCATGAGATCGTGACCTGAGCCGAAGTCGGACACTTAACCGACCGAGCCATCCATCCAGGAACCCCTGTAAATGGGCTTTTAAGGCAGAGGAGGAAGGATTTATATTTTAGGCACAACACAGGTGGAAGAGCGGAACATTGATTGGGGGGTGGAAAGATTAGAGGCAGGGATTGAGATGCTAAGTGAGGTAAGAACAGCATCTGTGTGGGTTGAGAGGATGAATCAAAATGCAGAGACATTTCTAATCTGAGTTGTGTGCTCTGAGAGCCAGGAGTCTGTGAGGGATGAAGTTTGCAGAGGAGAGAACAGGGAATGCAGACCTTCAGGGTTATTACTGTCTATTCTGAGCAGTTTTACTTCTCATTCTGTTCCCTTTAAGTAATAATTGTATTAGTAAATATCTTTTTTTTTTTTTTTTCCCAATACAAAAATTGCTACCTCTTGGCCTGTTCTGGGGATCAAGCCCATGATGTTGGTGTTCCTGCCACATTCTACCTAACTGAGCTAACTAGCCACCAGGCAGCTAGCCCTCTATATTAGTAAATATCTTAACAGAAACTTTACTTTTTGGGGGCACCTGGATGGCTCAGTTGGTTAAGTATCCGACCCTTGGTTTCAGCTCAGGTCATGATCTCACAACTCAGGAGTTTGAGCCCTGTGTGGGGCTGTGTACTATCAGCATGGGGCCTGCCTGGGATTCTGTATGTGTGTGTGTGTGTCTCTATGCCCCCTCCCCATGCTCACATTCTCTCTCTAATAAAATAAATAAATATTTTTAAGATAGTGCGAGCGGGGGAGGGGCAGAGAGAGGGGGAGATGGCAGAATCCGAAGCAGGCTTCAGTCTCTGAGCTGTCAGCTGACTGACCTGGGGCTTTAACCCACGAACGGTGAGATCATGACCTGAGCTGAAGTCGGACGCTTAACTGACTGAGCCACCCAGGCGCCCCTACATATACATTTTTAAGTCTTTGAGAGTAAAGCCTCTTTAGAATAAAATCAAACTTGTTTGAAAGATATTTTTTAAAAAGAAACTGTAATAAAGTTATATGTGCCACTGTGTAGCCTTGACTTACCCTCTCCTCACTGAGGCAGAGTGTTGCACCTTTCAGGACATTCTAGTCCATTCCCCATATCCGTGGGCCAGAGACAGGGGGAGTCTTTGAGCTGATACTAGATTTGGACGCTGGCTGCTCCACCTTCGAACTATGTGACTCTTGGTCTTTTACTTTATCGTGGAGCCACAGTTTTCTCATCTGCCAAGTGGAAAGATTAGTATCTTTTGAAGCTTTAAGAGAAAAAGGATTTGTTGGTTCAAATTGGAAGATTTCCAAGAAAACTACCTGGCACTTTGAAGGTGCCAGTTTGAGGTTGTAGACTTGATGTTTCACACCTATTTCATCACCATGGAAAACAAACTGTTCACATTTCAGCTTTTAAAAAATAACCCAACTGTATACCAAGCAAATACCCGTATCCCATGTCTGGCTCAAACCTTATTCATCTCTGAGCCTTTTTTGTTTTTGTTTTTGTTTTTGTTAACCTCCTTGGTAAAATATACATACCTGCTGTAAAAAAAAAAAAAAAAGAGAGAGAGCGAGAACAGCTTACTCTTTTTAAGTTGTTTTCCATGACTACTGTTAGGTTGGGAGTGGCCTGCTGACTCTTAAGAAGTCTCACAGATAACGTAAGTTAGGAATATGTCCACCTCAAATAATGGAGAACTTCAGTGGAGATCGAACATGTGGGAGTTTATTGTCTCTTGCAGCAGTCGTGTGGAGTAACTCTGAAGCTGGCATAGCCAGCTGCCCGCACTGCCACAGTGTTCATCCAGACCAAGGGCCTGTGCCTGGCTCCCCTTCACCATCTTTAGCATAGTGGTTTTCCTCATGTTCTTCTTAGAAAGTAACTTCGTGTCTAGACATCACTTCTCTGTTCTAGCAGGAAACAGAGGGAATGGGCCAAGGGTAACAGCAAAAGATTTCTCCTGCTGAGGCTTTTCCTTCTTATCAGGAAATGAGGCAACCCCCTTCCCACCAAGGGCTTCTGCTTATATCCCATTATCCTGAGCTCAGTCTCATGGCTGCAGGTAGTCAGGGAGGTCAAGAAGTCTAGTCTTCTTGGTTAGAAATGCAAAGGAAAAGGTGGTGGGTTTGTTTGTATTAGTCTACACAGTATCTACTCTTCTTAGGGCAACAATATCTTAGTTACCAACATCTGGATCTTACCTATGGGGACCAGTGTCCTGGTTTGCCTAGGACTAAGAGATTTCCTGGGATGCAGGACTTGGCACGCCATAACCTGGACAGTCCTAGGAAAACCAGGATGATTGCTACCCTAGTCCTTCCTTTCCTTTTTTTTTAAAAATTAATTAATTAATTGATTAGTTTTTAAATTTATATCCAAGTTAGTTAGCATATAGTGCAACAATGGTTTCAGGAATAGATTCCTTAATGCCCCTCACCTGTTTAGCGTGCCTGTTTAGTGATATTGAATCAGTGGAACATATTGGAAGAAGAACGTCATGGATTTGCCTAGTGCATATGAGATTTTGACCAGATGTCTTAGGGCTGCAATGGTACCCAACTCTAGGGGGCCTCTGATCACAGCAGCCTGGGATTAATTCTGTAATAATTTTTAGTGATTGACGGATTATCCTGAAAAGAATTGTATGTTATCTCAGGCAGGGTATATGTGTTAAACTCTGTTGCAGGCACATACTAGCTAGCACACATGTAGGGGTGGAGTATTAGACATCAGAGGCTCTCCTGACACCAAGCTTCCTGCTGAGGTTGACCTTGAAAGCAGTCTTAATGGAGCATCTGGGTGGCTCAGTCGGTTAAGCATCTGACTTTGGTTCAGGTCATGATCTCACGGTTCATGGGTTCAAGCTCCATGTTGGGCTCTGTGCTGACAGCTTAGAGCCTGGAACCTGCTTCAGATTCTGTGTCTCCCTCTCTCTCTGCTCCTCCCCTGCTTGCATTCAGTCTCTCTCTTTCAAAAATAAACATTAAAAAAAAAAAAAAAAAAAAAGAAAGCAGTCTTAATGTAGACCCTTGGTGGGTGACATGATTGGGAGAAGAGGATCAGAGAGAATTTCCCCCCCACCCCCTCCTTTACCCCTCTGCCTGGAGCTGAGATCTGGGCTGAATGTATCTGCCAGGGCTGCAGGAATCCGGATCCTCCTCCTCTTCACTTCATTTAGAACCCTGAGCTCTGCCCCTTCTTCAAGATTTCCTCTGCTCTCCTCCCTTCCCTGTTTGAACAGATTCCTCTTATTTCTTCTCTTACTAGTAGAAATAGGAATCTGGCTCACTGCCTCTTTTTCTTCACCTCATTCTAAAACTGTGTGATGCATATTTTATATTTTCTTGCATGTTTGACTTTTAGTTAATATTTAACGATAATTTTATTCTGTAGACATCTTCTTATCTGATATCTTGGAACTCGTCCCTGTGCCTCTCAATTCTAGCCTCTGATGATGAGGTTTTGTTTGTGTGTTGGGGGGAAGGAAGTGTGCTATTCAGACATATTCTCTTATTAGTGAGATATTACTTAGTATGTGACTAATGTTGTGCGTCTATAACCAGTTGTTCCACCCCGTGAGTCCTGACGTAATTTAGAAAGAATTCTTTCTTTGTTAAAGACCTTTTCTACGTGGGCCACACGTTTCCAGACCTATTTCGTAGTAATTTGTGGTTTTTTAGGTATGTCAGTAGAGATGCTATAGCAGTATGCCTGGATTCTGTTAGATAAACATTTTGTAAGATTGCTTACTTTAAAAAACTGTCTTCGTTTAAAAAGTTAATTTCTTCTCTAATGTCTCAGTAAAGAATTTTTTTAGTAAATCTGATAAATTCTAGTTAAAATACTTTGTTTTTAATATTTTAAGCCTTTTAACATTTTGTTTTTTTAATATTGTAGACCTTGAAACCTCCTTTGAAGGTTGATATATTAATACTTTTTTGGTCTGCATACTTTCTTTTGAATTTTAAGAAATCAGTACTAGAATCTTTAACATGCTTAAAATATCCTTTTGATGGTCAGGGGTTTTCATTAAAAACAGCTAAATAAAATTTTCAACGAATGATAATGTGCATATGGTAACATATTTCTCATCATTTATATGCAATTAGGAGAGTGACTCATGAACTGTTTTCTCTTGAGTTCCTGAGAGTTTATAAAAAGATTACAAACAATTGGCAACAGAATTGAAATAATGAATGTGTAAAGTGGAAGGGGAAAATGTTTCTCATTTGTTCTTCTCTTACCTTGATGAAATTTTTACCACTTAAACTTTTCCAGTAAATTCAAGGTCAGTATGTGAGTCTAATATGGTTCTACCCATCATGGTCTAAGGATTTCCTGTCTTGTCACACAACATGTGTGTTCCCAGAGGGGAAAATACAGTTTGATTTCATGGTGATAAATAGCTGTTCAAGGACACTGGAGTCAGGTATAAAAGGATGATCACTGTTTGAGGACTGTGAGGTAGTGTGAAGGGGAAAGGATGAGATGAAATTTAAAAGTTGACATCACTAAACTCCCAGTTGTTGGTCACCCCTAAGAACTCTAGCTGATCTCCTGGCAGTGTTTGAGGGATATATTTCCTTTGACCTTTATATTAGTAGGATGTCATAGGCCTTAGGATCCAGCATAAACCTGAGCTGAAAACGCATTGGAGTTGTTTGTGACTTGCTAGAGGTGTCCTTACGGTAGAGCACATCTCTGTGAGAACTAGTGAATGACCCTCACCAATTTAAGATCAGTTATTAGACAGTGTCATGGACAACCAAATGAGAACATCACAAATCTTACAAAAATGTGTCAAATCCAGACTCCTAATGCACTGTTTTATACCTTGACATTCCTGGATAAGGTATCTTGGTTTTTACCCCCAGGCTTCCCCTTCTGTATATCGTTATCCACCAGGGTTTTGATTTATTTTTCATTGTGCACTTATTATCCCTTTCATTGCTTCATTCTAGGGAGAGGGGAACTTTTTCATTGCAGTATGCTGTAACTTTGCTGCCTGGGACTTTTAACTTGAAGTCTTAATGTCCTAGAAGTCTGTAAAAGAAATTGAAGATCCTCTATCTTTAACTCCCTATATGTGTGTCTAATCTTTTAAGGAATGTTGGCATTTAGTGAGGAGTGGGACGGGGGATGCCCCAGATAGAGGTTTTGTTTTCATTCACATAGTTTCTTAACATACTCGTGGCAACCTTGCTCCTAGCTTCAGATTTCTTAGAGGACTTGGATGTTTTGGGTTTGTATGCATACATTTTGAAATCCCTGGGTTGAAAATTTCCTGGATGTTTGCATTCTCTACTCAACCTAGGACATTAAGGGTTATATACAAATTAGCCTCTTAAATGACCATTAACTAGAAATGTTATCTGTCCAAAGAAAGGATTCATGTGACTCCAAGTACGTGTTACCCTCTATATAGCATATTACTTTTGGCAACCAGAGAAAGATGAGAATTCTGCTGCATTTGAATTTTTCATTGTGATGAGACAAATCTATTATTATAAAAGCTCTACTCATCAGTGAGAGTGTTTCCTTCTGTTGTTTTAATTAAAGGAGCAGTGTATTTTTAAATTTAATTATGGCACTTTGATGATCTGATACTGGCTGCATGCTAAGAGTTCTTTAGATTTCTAAGATTTATAATGCATCTAGAGCAGAGATGACAGAAATCTTCAATGTCTACACAGCTCAGTAAGATAGCCACATGTGGCTCTTGGGCGCTTAAAATGTCGTTAGTGAGACTGAGGAATTAAATTTCAAATTTTCTTTAAAATTAGAATTTAAGGGGTGCATGGGTGGCTCAGTCAGTTAAGTGTCTGACTCTTGATTCCCTCTCAAGTCATGATCTCACAGTTGTGAGATTGAGCCCCGTGTTGGGCTCTCTGCTAACAGGGCAGAGCCTACTTGGGATTTTCTCTCTGCCCCTTTCCTACTCTCTCTCTCTCTCTCTCAAAATAAATAAATATTAAAAAATAAAATAAAATTAGAATTTAGTTGCATGTGGTTAGTTGGTTACCCATATTAGGATTAGGTAGGTAGCACAGATCTAGAGCATATGGAAAGTTTCTATTTCATATAATGACATCCTGGGCTTTCAAGTTTCTTATTTTTGGTTGGGAAGTTGAGGCAGGTTAAATTTGAAATTGATAATGGAGGATGATGGGGCGCCTGGGTGGCTCAGTTGGTTAAGTGTCTGACTTTGGCTCAGGTCAGGATTTCACAGTTCGTGGGTTTGAGCCCTGCGTTAGGCTGTGTGCTAACAGCTCAGAGCCTGGAGCCTGCTTCAGTTCTGTGTCTCACTCTCTCCCTGCCCCTCCCCCACTCTCACTCTGTGTCTCTCTCTCTCTCAAAAGTAAATAAACATTAAAAAAATTTTTTTAAATAAAAGATAATGGAGAGTGTTGATTGTAGCCACAAGGAGAGACTTCTTTAATGGAGATGTGAGCTTATCAGACTTACATATATTAGAAGTGAACTTTCATTAATTCTAAAAAGAATTCTAATATAATTAATTGAACAAATACTTAGAAAATATTTCCTGTGTCTAAAGAAGCATACTAAATATGGAGGCCAGAGGTGAGTGGAACTTAGCTGGTCCCTTCAAGAAGCTTTCTGTTTGAGTTTTCCTCAAGAGGCTTTGATAAGCCAAAGGGTGAGCTCTGTCCTTGAGCACAGAATGGCACGTGGGGTATTATCATCAGGATTTGGCTTCAGTGCTTTGCGGGAGGGCTGGGGCTGTCACAGTACGAAGAGGAACTGTATATATCTGGGGACATAGTGTTTTGTATAAACTCTGACATGCAAGATTAATTTTGGTTGAGAGAGGGTTGAGGTAGGATTGGGATTTCTTCAGGTGTGCGAGAAATCCTTCTGAGTTCCAGATGCGTTGGAGCAGGCCCTTCGTGTCTTCCCCACTTATGGGAGATGGACTTTCCCAGGACTCTGAAATACTGGGAACAGGGACATTGGACATGGACCCTTCCCCACCCATGCTCACCCTTACCTAGGTGGAGAGGAATTCTTGATAATGCTGAGTTTGGCTCAACTACCAGGAGCGTCTAATGGAGATTAATATTCCCTTAAACAGAAATACAGAGATTATTAAACAAGCCAGATTTTTATTTATTTATTTTTTTATTTATTTTTTTTTTAATTTTTTTTTTTAATGTTTTATTTATTTCTAGGAGAGAGAGAGAGAGAGAGACAGCGTGAGCAGGGGAGGGTCAGAGAGAGAGGGAGTCACAGACTCTGAAACAGGCTCCAGGCTCTGAGCTGGCAGTCAGCACAGAGCCCAATGCGGGGCTCGAACCCACGAACCGCGAGATCATGACCTAAGCGAAAGTCGGACACTTAACCGACTAAGCCACCCAGGCGCCCCATAAACAAGCCAGATTTTTAAAAGTCACAGTAAGAATCCAGCTTTTTTTTTTCTCTCCCAGCTGGCAAGACCCTACCTGAATTCACTTGGCTGTGCTCTTAGTTGGAAACCCAAGGGCAAAAGAAAAGCCACAGAAAAACAGGCTATATCTTCTCCTACTTGAACAGCCACCTTATTTTATTTGCTCACTAAGTTCTGTGTTTTTAGCTAAATAAATCATGAACTTGCAGCAGAGGGGTGTGTGTTCCCACCAGACTATGACCTGTCTAGAACCCTGTGTCTTCCCACTGAGCCACTAACCGGTGCTCAGTGAATACTGCTGGGAGTCAGGGAACTCGGAACCCAACTGTCCTGGGTCCCCTTCCTGGCAGTTGGGTGAGTCATGAGGGCCTGAAGGGTGAATCTCAGACAGGCTGGAGCCGTAGGTTATAGATTAAGAAAGGGAGACTGTGTAAACAGTGGTGAGCTGGACACAGAGGAATTACTGATCTGATCTCATGGTGCAGATGTAGAAGGAGAAGAGCCCGCCTTTTCCCTTCGGCTCCCTGGGACAGGGGACTTGTGTCATGTGGACTGTGTCTTGGCAGCTGGGCCTGTCAGGATCGAATCAGCAGAGTTACCCAATGCTCTGCGGTTTGTTTTTGCCAGGTTAGGAATACAGTTCTGCAGGCAGTCTTTTATATCTGAGACTAAGAGAGAATGGAGAGATGGGTTAACAGTCTTCACACGAGTGTCCAGACACTGCTGGCTCAGGATCTCAGCCATGGATAGTGGGATGTTTGCCTCTCTGTGTGCTTGGTCCTTGGTGTCTGGCCTTGGGCCATGATGTCAGCCTGGCTAGGTTGGCACATACATAGCCTGGAATGGGTTAGGCTTCTGCTTCAGACATTAAGGAAGGGAACTGGCTAGTACTCCCTGAAATAGTGCCCACAGGCTGGCAGAGCACTGACTGACTGACTGGCACCTGCCCCTTTCAGAGGTGGGCTGAGGACAGTTGTAGAAATTTTCCAGTGTGTGGATTGTGAGAGTGTACCGCATCTCCCTCCCAGCACTGTCAGGCCAGAACATCAACAGAGTTTGCAAAGAATGGGTTAACTGTTAGAAGAAAATATTTCTAAAAGTAAGTAATCCTGAGTAGAGATGAGAAAAGATTGGTAAATTTGACTATTTAAAGATTTGGAATGTCTGTATCACTAAAGACAAAAATGCAAATATAAGTAAAAGACAAATGGGAGACTGGGAGAAAATAGGCTATGTGTAATAGGCAAGGGATCAATACAGGGAATATAAGGAGCCTTCCGCAAAACAATGAGATGTGATTTTCTTCCAACAGATTGGCAGAAATTTAAAAGATGAATAATCTGTTTTGGCAACAGTGGAGAAAAATGGGTATCACTTATAAATGGTGAATGTATTTGTTCAGACCTTTTTGGGAGGGCAGCTTGTCACTGTTTGTAAATAAGGTCAGGTATCTTTGATTCAGTAATTCTCTGTCTAGCAAAATATACATGTGCACACTCTCATCCCATCATTGTTAGTAATAGTTAACATATAGAATAATAAAATGCCTGGTGGTATAGCCAGCATAGGGAATATTATGCAGCACCTAAAAAAATGTGGTAGATCGCTAGGCAGCTGTGGGAAACTCTCCCTGATATATTTTTACTGAGAAAAATAAATTATAGAAATACCACATTCATGTAAAGAAAACCTCTGCAAAACTAGATATATTCCCTTTTTTTTTTTTTAATGTTTTATTCATTTCTAGGAGAGAGAGAGACAGCGCGAGCAGGGGAAGGTCAGAGAGAGAGGGAGTCACAGACTCTGAAACAGACTCCAGGCTCTGAGCTGGCAGTCAGCACAGAGCCCGACGCGGGGCTCGAACCCACGAACAGCGAGATCATGACCCAAGCGAAAGTCGGACGCTTAACCGACTAAGCCACCCAGGCGCCACAAAACTAGATATATTCCTATATGCATTGTATTTTATAGATTCTGTATGTGTTGTGCATATGAAATCTCTATATAAAATCAGTTCAATCCATGTTTTTCATGGATTCTAAAACATGTGTTTCAACTATTAACATTTCTATAATCAGTATATCTAACAAGTGGTGGCATGATTTAATAGTTAAACTTTTTTTTCTTTCTTGATGAAGCATAATGTATATTCTAAATGATAAGGTTAGATTTAATGGCAGATGATATGTAAATGCATTGATAAAAGACTCTTCGGAAGGACTGAGATGGGATTGAGGAGATGTCAGTAGACTAGACTTCATCGGTATCATCTGTATTATTTGAAAAAAATTTTTTTAACAAGGAAAATGAATTCCCTTCTCTGAGCCATCTCTCTCTACCTCTGCTATTATACTTGATACTGAGCTTCATTTGAGAACTTTAAGGTCCAGACAGCTAAGAGATTGTTAAGCTCCATTAAGAAGTTAAGTAGCTGTAAGATTCAATGAGGGGGAATTGTGTGCTGAGGTCCAAGAAGAAGGGGATCAAGACTGTAGAGCCCAGGACCAGTTGCTTCATCTTAACCCTTACTGTCTATGTGAGGAAGTTGAAGGTTTCAAGGTGGTGCCTGGTTAGCCAGGGGTAATTACTGCAGTGTTACCCATCTACATATTGGGGTTTCCCTCTGGCAAACCCAGTCGGTGGTATCCCATTCACTGTTTGGATGAGGAAATTGTATGGTGAGACAGAGATAGGTCAAACCAAGGAACATTACCAATGACATTGAAAGGAGAGTGGATTGTCTGGGTAGTGAACTAACCCTTTCTTAAGGCATTTAACAAGGCAGGTAGGAGATGAACTGCCATAGGTGAGAGATTAGGTGTGCTCTGCCTTGGAGGCTGGACCCTGGGATCCTTGTATGTAAACAGGGCATCGTGCGGGTGTCTCGCCATAAGTGAGAGCTGCGTTGTGAAGATGCATACTGAGAGTTTAGTAGTGACACTATAAACAAAGATGACTATTAAAAAGATTCAGAGTGTAGTTTATTGTAAGAGGATAGCCCGAGCTGTGGGAGCCAGAGGAAAGAGAGAGCAGTCCCTGGAAAATCCAGGAAGACTTCTGGGCCAAGGTGTCAGTTGGGGTAGTAGAATTTGGATTATTAAGGAAGGATGCAAAGGAAAGGAAGGAGGGCTCACCACTGTGAACAGAGGCTCAATGGAGAATATGAGGAACTGTGTGTGCATTATAGTTTACTTGATACAGGCACACAAACGGGCATATAGAACATGTATATAATAAGGGAATCAGTAGGAAGTAAGATTTTAAAAAGTAGATTCTGACCAGACCACAGAGAGCTAAGAATGTCAGGTTTAGGAGCTTGACCTTGACTCAGTAGGCTCATGTTTTACATTTAATCTTTGGGTTACCAGGTATTTTGTAACATCACTGGTTTAACTTTAATTCAGTCACTTCAAGTTTATTTTCTAAGGGTTTATGATATAGGTTTAAATCTTATGTTAAAAGTATATAGAACATAGGAGTTTTTTGCATGTGCTGTCAACTTTGGTTTTTCTCTCTGCCTGCCTGCATTTGCAAATAACAACTTCACTTTCAAAGGAGATGCTAGTACTTACCCCTATCTAATGAAAGTAAAGAACGACCTCCTGCGTGAAGAGGTGAAATTGAACATGAAAGATGTACAGAGTAAAGTTAGTGAGAGATAAAAATGGATGAACATTGTTTAAGGAAAGCTGTGATCCATATTCCCTTTGCTATACCATGATCTGGAAAATCTTGTCCTGGTAATTCCTTACAGCCTTTCTTTTAAACCTGGCCACCTTTCCATTGCCAGCTCAGCCTCCATGTTAGCTGATGCTACTACTTCAAATGCTGTGTTGGATAGGGATCCTCCTTTCTGGACTCTGGCTTTGGCTCCCCAGGTGCCTTGCTGAGCTGAGCTGACCTTAGGAATCTGAAATGTAGAAGGTCAGTTTGCAGTAGGGAAATACTGTAGCAACTCTTGCTTTTTTTGCCATGATGTAACTTAATCAGATCCTCTTGTTTTTCCCTGAATGGTATGAGTAGTTGCACTGAAATGCTTACTCATCTGTGCCTGTGATGCTTTAAAAAAATAATGATTTCACTAGTATGTCACAACATGCATTATTTATTATTTTAGCAAATGGATTTTTAAACAAGCAACAATTTACAAATTTAAACATGACAATTAATATGATATGACATAAAAAATTAAATAATCTCACGACGTCTTTGTTATCAGGATTGCATTAATGATCTTAGCCCTTCTGGGAGCTTTCATTTTTTTTGTTAACTCTGACTGATGATGGCAGACTGTGGTAGTAATAGGCTTTTATAAATTATTTTTTAGACAAAGTGATATTGGCATGTAATGTGGACTGCCAGAAATAACATTGCTTATCATTGCCAGTATTGTTTTGTTTTGACTTATGTTCTGAGTTCTTAAAGATGTCCACTATAGGTTGCACAGTGGTGGGCCGTGGTACGGTTTACCTTCTGCTTGGAAGCCGGTGTAGGTCAAATTGATGGGAGTTTGGGGTGATGGTTGGGTTCGGGGTTGATGCCCAAGGAAGAATTCTTGAAGACATCTTTGGTGCAAAAAGGTGATTTTATTAAAGCACGGGGACAGAACGCGTGGGGATAAAGAGCTGCACTGAAGTTGTGAAGAGGGGCTGGTTATATACCTTCAGGTTGGGAGGGGGTTAGGGACAGAGTAAGTCTTGAAGGAACTTTGGAAGCAAGTTTTCCAGGACCTTGAGGGACTAGCTGTTGTTAGAAAAACACCATTTATTACTGTTTAGTAAAACCTCAGTCATGAGACCCTACAGATGTGTATCAGGGGCCATATGCTTACAGTATAATTACCAACATATAATTGGGGGTTAAAGATAAAGGAGGCTTGTAAAGGAATTTTTATGTGTTTAAGGAGACTCAGAGGATCCTGGAGGGTCAGAATAACGTTAAGCCAAGATCCCCTTTTGCCCCTAGCAAAGTCATCATTGAGGCAGCTGAACTCCTAGAGGAAGGTCACTGCCTGTTTCAGGAACTTGTCAGTGGGCTGTAGGCAGTAAGGAATTAAATTTTTCATTTGCCTGTGTTTCCCACATTAGCACTTAAACCCATTTACATCTTGATGAGGATAATATTCGGGCTCCAAGAAACGGAGTCTATAGGTTTCTGGAGATAAGATTACCTTTTTCTTGCAGTTTAGTTTACTAAGTTATCCATAAACTGAAGGAGACTCCTGTCCTGCATGACTGTTATCTCTATCAGTCAGCCAT